AACCTCTTCCTAAGGCATTTGTAATAGTTCCTCTTTTATAGTAGTGATTTGCTCCTCTTTCGTCCGTGGATATAGGTCAATTGACCGAACCACGTAAATCTGGTGTTCTTGTCACTTTTTTTATTCTTCCGCTTTATCGTCTTTGTTGGGTTGCTAAAATTACCCTTTGGTAAATTTCTTGGGGCTAGCTCTAACAAACTGGTATCAGAGCCTGGTTTTGGGATCTTTTGGCAATGATGACAATAACAAAGAGTGTTGTCGAGAAATTCGACAGAAATGTCAACTTCAACATGTGGCAACTTAAGATGGAGGTCATTCTGGTTCAAGACGGAGTTGATTTGGCATTATAGGGAGTTGAGAATATTCCAAATGATACATCAAAGGAAGATCTTGCGGGTATAGATAAGAAGGCTCGATCCAGCATTATTCTAAATCTCTCTGATGAGGTTTTACGGGAGGTAGCTACGGAGACTACGGCTAAGAGCATGTGGGACAAGCTTAAAGCCTTGTATATGAAGAGAATAGTAGAGAATCGTCTCTACTTAAAGCAGAGTTTGTATATGCTTCGGATGACTGAAGGTACATCTATACTCTCACATCTTGATAAATTTGATTACTTGGTTATGAATTTAGAAAATATAGATGCAAAAATTGATGATGTGGATAAGGCCATGTTACTTTTGTGTTCTCTTCCCCAATCTTTTAAGCATTTCCGTGATACTATGATTTATGGAAAAGAAACAATTTCGTATCAGGAAATTAAATCTGCACTAAAATCTAAGGAGCAGATAGACAAAGATATCACTGGGGAAAGTAGAGGGAATCAGGCTGAGGGTTTGGTTATCAAGGGTAGAATGGATAAAAGAGAATTTGATAGTAGTAGATTTAAATTCAGACATAGAAATTTGGAATGCAGATATTGTCATAAAATGGGGCACATTAAGGTTGATTGTTTTAAATTAAAAAAATAAATTAAAGCAAAAGGGAAAAAATTATTGAAAAAACTACTGAGTCTGCTAAAGCTAGTGTAGTAGCCGATAAGAATGATGAAAATATTTTCTTTGCTATTGATGACAGGATGAGGTCTAAAAATGAATGAATTTTAGATTCAGGTTGTTCTTATCACATGTGTCCTAATAAAGATTTATTTTCCACATATGAATCTTGTAATGGTGGAATTGTTTTGATGGGCAATAATGCAGCATGTGATGTTGTTGGTAGAGGAACAATCCAAATTAAAATGCATGATGGTATTGTGAGAACGCTCACTAATGTTAGACATGTTCCTGATTTAAAAAAGAATCTCATCTCTTTAGGCACCCTAGAGGCCCTTGGGTGTAAATATACAACTGAAGGTGGAGTTATGAAAGTTTCTAGAAGTGCTCTTGTTGTTATGAAAGCTTGTAGGTCTGGTAGCTTATATATTTTGTAGGGAACTACTGTCACAGGCTTAGTTGCAGTCTCGTCATCATTATTGTCTGATTCTGACATCACCAAATTATGGCATATGCTTTTGGGTGAGTGAAAAATGTTTGAGCATATTGAGCAAAAGGGGTCTACTTTGCGGACAGAGTACTGGGCCACTGGATTTTTGTGAACACCGTGTTTTTGGAAAGCAGAAAAGAGTCAGCTTCAATTCTCCGGCAGTTCACAAAACAAAAGGTACTCTTGACTATATTCATTTAGACCTTTGGGGTCCAGCTTATGTTCAATCTAAAGGTGGTGCTAGGTATATGTTGACTTTCATTGATGATTATTCCAGAAAAGTTTAGATTTATTTTTGAAGCATAAAAATGATGTTTTTTTAACCTTTAAACAATAGAAGGCTTTGATTGAGAAGCAAACATGTAAACAGATTAAGCGGCTTCGAACAGATAATGGCATGAAATTTTGTGAAAGTGACTTTGATGAATTCTGTAAAAATGAAGGAATCGTTAGGTATCGCATTGTTAGGATGACGCCTTAACAAAAGGGTGTGGCCGAACATATGAACAGAACACTCTTAGAGAGAGCAAGGTGTATGATCTCAAATGCAGGGTTGACAAAGGACTTTTGGGCAGAGGCGATTAATATGGCCTATTACGTTGTCAACCGCGCTCCTTCTGCAGCACTTAACTTTAAAACTTCGGAGGAAGTTTGGTCAGGTACTCCTGCTGATTACTCTGATTTAAAAATTTTTGGGTGTCCAGCATACATGCATATAAATGAAGGAAAATTATAGCCTCGAGCGAAAAAGTGCATTTTCCTTGGGTATGCTTCTGGGGTGAAAGGATACAAATTATGGTGTTCTGCTCCCAAATTTCCAAAATTTATAATCAGTAGAGATGTTATTTTTGATGAATTGTCTATGTTATCTTCTAAAGAAGAATCTACTAGTTATACAAATGATAATGCGCAGAAGCAGGTGGAGCTTGAGATTGGTAGTTCAGATTCTTTTAAGTTGAACTCTTCTACTCAAAGAATACTAGTAGATGGACCTGAGTCTACTGACGAAGTTGATCTAGAGGAAGAGCAGTATTCCATAGTCAAGGATAGACCACGGAGAAATATTCGACCACCACAAAGATATGCAAATTTGGTTGCATATGCTTTGTCTGTTGTAGAAGAAATAAGTGAAGTTGGTGAACCTACTTCCTACTCAGATGCAGTTTCTTGTGATAATTTTGCTAAGTGGTTGATTGCGATGAATGAAAAAATAGAATCTCTCCATCAGAATAGAACTTGGGATCTTGTGAAGCCACCTTCGGGTAAGAAAATTGTTGGATTCAAATGGGATACTATTGTTGAGGGAAAGGTCCTTGTTCAGAAAATTCATACGAAGGACAATCCAACTGATATGCTTACGAAGACTCTTCCAGTTTACAAGTTCAAACAGTGCTTGGACTTGGTTAGTGTTCATTGCTTGTGATTGCCCGTTGGGGCTTTTATGAAGAAGGTAGAGCAAGTTTTGTTGGGATATGCCAATGTGGAGATTTGTTAGTTTGGCAAGTCCCATAGTCCCACATCGGGAAAATCAGACTTGTTATCTCCTATTGGAACTATAAATAAGGGTATGGGTTTGGAAGTCAAATGCACCACAAGATGCACTACAAGAAAACCTAATTGTCTACTTTAGGCTTTTCTTGTTTAGTATTTTCGGGTATTTTATGGACTAGGAATATCTTCCTAAGGCATTTGTAATAGTCTCTTTTATAGTAGTGATTTGCTCCTCTTTCGTCCGTGGATGTAGGTCAAAATTAATTGACCGAACCACGTAAATCTGGTGTTCTTGTCGCTTTTATCTTTTCGCTTTATTATCTTTGTTGGGTTACCAAAATTACCCTTTGGTAAATTTCCTAGGACTAGCTCTAACATTTCCTCTTTCATCTAAATTTATTGTTTGTTTTCCCTTGTATTAGTCGGTCTCATATCGCTCATCATCTTCATCTTTTCTATTTATAGTCAGTAGTTTTGTTGGCAACTCTTTAATTGTGGTGCTTTTTTTTTTTGCTTTAACACATGATATCATATCTCTATCTTTAAAAG